TGCAAAGACTCTATGAACATGTCAACCAATTCCCTATCCAAGAGTGGTGGTTGAACGCGAGCAGCTACCTCTCTCCATCTCTGAGCATACCCTCTGAAAGACTCGTTTTCCTCTTGAAATAAACTTTGCAACTGCATGCGGTTGGGAGCCACATCAAGATTGTATTGGTATTGTTTCAGAAAGGTGTTGGCTAAGTCCGACCACGACTGGATATGGCTACTTTCTAGCTGCATGTACCAACTAAAAGATGCCCTACTCAAACTGTCTTGGAAGCAATTAATCATAAGTTTGTCATTGCGAGCATAGAACGTCATCTTTCTGCAAAACATTACCAAATGTTGCTTCGGACAGCTATCTCCTTTGTGCTTTTCAAAATTTGGCATCTTGAACTTTGGAGGTATCACAAGTCCGGGTACCAAACACATATTCAAAGCATTCAGATCAGCAGTATCACGCTCCATCATGGCTTCAACTTTCTCTTCCAACACACGACATTTTTCAGCAAACTCATCATTCTGAGGTCGTTCAACATTCCCCACCAAGCTTGCCACTTGGGAATTCGGTGTAGTGAATGCGAAGCTATGGTATTCAACAGCATCATGAGGCGAGGTATGTTCATCCTGAATAATGTGACGCTCTTGTATAACCTGGTCTTCAACAGGAATCCGCACAGGCTGAGGTATGACGTTCTTAGTGACTATAGGCCGTTGAGATTTATTTTCTTTCCTTGAAAAGGCTAGCATAGCTTCCACAAGCTGGTCCAACTGGTTCTTCATCAAGTCAACATCTGCTCTTGATGCAAACTGGTTCTGCTCTTCTGAACTCATGATTCTTCCAAAAGCAGCTTTAAGTCCGATACGGGTGTCGGGAAATCAACTGCGGATTATGGACAAAGGATGGATAAGTTTTCTGGCTGAGAGAATGATATGCAATGCAGATGAGATGCACATGAAATGATATGCAAATGCAATGCAGGCACAAATAGGATCCAGGATAACATAAGCAGGTCAAAGCACCCTAACCGGTAGGCTATACTAGGAAAGTTCTAGATTTTGTACCCACAGACCCACTCACGGGATAGCTTCTATGTTGATGGATAAGGTTCCCAAGATCACGGACACCAATCGCATCAACATTACGCAACAGGCTAGCTGTATTATAACGAGAGTACGATAGGGTCTCTCCTGAGCGGAGTCCTCATGCTAGGCACACGAGGAGCGGGTCCTCGGAGATTAACATTACACGACTACCAATATAGAAACTGGTTCTACGAGTGGTTCCCAGAGTCACGGACCCTTCATGAACCAAATCGTGTAACAGGCTAGCTGCGTTACGATAGGATCTACGAAAAGGTCTATTCTGGAGGAGCTTTCATGCTAGGCACACAAGGAGCGAGTCCTTGGGGACTAACACTAATTACTACCAATTCTAAACTATATTTTCTCTCTTCTTTTTCCAAAGCTCGGGTGTAGAGCTTTACTTGCAATGCTATCCCCGAATCCAGCAAGCAGATATAATAAACAGCATACGATAGAAAGAGAAAACAAGAAATAAACAATAAGGGGAAATAAACATAAAGAAAACAGTTAAGCAAAAGGTTAGTAATTCTCAAATCGAGTCAAGTTAGGCTTGACTCTCTCTTGCATAGGGCTATGCGTGCTCCCCAGCAGAGTCGCCATCTCTCGTACCTCGAAAAATACGATACTCGCGATGGCCGCGGAAAATACTGTTCGAAACAGAGTCGCCACCGAACTTTATTCATTCCAAGGATGGAATATGAAAATATCGATAAAACCTTTAAGGGGATAAGAACATGGTCATCGCAACCAATATTCTAGGTTCGGGAGTCGATTACATGAGGGGAAGGTATTAGCACCCCTCATGTCCGTTGTACTCAACGGGAACCTCTTGATCGATTCGAGAGTAAAGTTAACTATGCTTGTTAGTTTTCTTCTAAGATTTCTCCTATAGGGGGGAATGGGTGGTTTTAAGACAGGGTGCTCGCCAAGGATTGAGGCCCTTGTGCCTACGTATCTTCACTTGTAAGAAGTGGAAAATCAGAGCATTCGTAGTTCGTGGGACTACGGGAAAAAGAGGGGATTGTGCTCGCCAAGATCGTCGCAATCTTGTGCCTACGTATCTTACATTCAAGAGGGAATGAAGAATCAGAGCAGCCGTAGTTCGGCTAACTACGGTAATAGGTTTGTGTTTGGAATGAACGAGAGTTTAGGTCGCATTCTAACTGCTAAACGTTGGCTTGTCTGCTCACTAGGGGAGGCTGAAGCACTTGTTTGTTATGCGCGGAAGAATGGACTAAACAATGTTCTTTGGTAAAAGGTATGGGAACCCTAAGGTGGGAAATAAAGAAAAGTGGAAAAGTGCTCGCTAGGATCATCGCAATCCTATGCCTATGTATTCTCATTGATAAATGAGAAATCAGAGCAGCCGTAGTTCGGCTAACTACGGTAATAGGTTTGTGTTTGGAATGAACGAGAGTTTAGGTCGCATTCTAACTGCTAAACGTTGGCTTGTCTGCTCACTAGGGGAGGCTGAAGCACTTGTTTGTTATGCGCGGAAGAAGGGACTAAACAATGTTCTTTGCTAAAAGGTGTGTAGGTTGGAGATCGCACGAGGGCGAGGAATTTAGTGTTTATCGTGTTGGATGTTTTGGTTTGGGAAGGAGAATGGATCTGAATAAATTTAAGGTTTCGACCGCACGGGGGCGAGAGAGAGGAGTTTGGTTAGGTAATTTGATGGAGAATGACGACTATTCGATAAACGAGCCGTCAGCCTCGCAATCTATTAGTCGTGGAATTACTGGAATGCTGGATTCCAATGACACCTTTTTCATTCGAAAGATTCTATGAAATGTGTTTGAGAAGGTTTCAAACGCACGAGGGCGAGAGAAGGGAGTTGGATATTTTAAAGGGGAATGACGACTACTCGATAAACGAGACGTCAGTCTCGCAATCGATTAATCGGGATATCGTTGGAATGCTAGATCCCATCAACGCCTTTTTCATTCGATTAATTATGAAATCTTATTTGAATGGACAATAACGATATTGGTCCAAATAGTTAGGGCATGTATTTATAGACGAAAGGTCGAGTAATCCACAACCTAAAGCGTACGCCCTAAGAGTGTTTACTCAAGAATTCAAGGAGTGCGAGACTCCAAGAACTCAGTTCTTTCGTAGTTTAATTAGGAAAATAGTTTGGATTTGACGTATGGCTTAGAGACATATTAGGGTTTAGACTCGACCACACGAAGGCAAGGAACGAGGTTAGACGGGTTGAAATAAATTAGGAGGAATGACGACTACTCGATAAACGAGACGTCGGCCTCGTAATCAAATCAATCGGGACATCATTGGGATGCTCGATCCCAACGATACCTTTTCATTCGAAATATGTTTGTTGGATAGTGAATATTTATCCAAATAATTAGAGGAAGTATTTTAGAGACGAAAATTCGAACGACACACCATTCAAGGCGTACGCCTCAATAGTAGTCACTCTCTAATTCGAGGAATGCGCGACTCCAAGAACTCGACTCTTTCGTGATTTGATTTAGAAAATATTTTGAATAGTTTAGCGTACTCGGACTAGGCGTGCTATGCACTCTAGAAAATAAGATCGAAAGGGTCACAACTCGAGGTGTGCACCTCGAGAGCAGTCGCTTAAAAAAAAATTCAAGGAAGGCGAGATCCAAGAATTTAATTGTTTTAAAAATTATTTTAAGAAGATAGTTTAATTTGATTAAGAAAAATAGTTTTAATTTTCATATATAAAATAAATTAATCAATTGCAAAAAGTTTGAGAAAAACTAATCATAATTAATTGTTTTGAGAAAAATTTAATATATTAAAAAAAGTTTTAACTTAATAATAAAGTATAGTTTTTCAATATTTAAAATATTATTTGATAAGAATTTTGAAATATATATCTTTTAAAAGAATAATAATTGGACCTTATTATAAAAATATCTAATTAATAAAATTAATTTAAAAACATCTTTTAGAAGCTTGAATTGAGTGAACATTTTTTAAAATCGAAAAAATGGAACGACCGTAACTCAAGGGCGTGCGCCTCGAGAATAGTTGTTCAAGGACTCAAGGGATGCTAGACCCCAAGAGCCCACTACTTCTATTATTAAATAGAGAAAATAATTTAAAAAGTAATTGTCAAAATAAATTATAATTAAATTAGGAAAAGATAGATATTTGACTAAATTTATTATTTAGAAAAAACGTTTAGTAAAAAACAATTTGGAAAAATATTTAACATCCAGCACCATAACAATCTCAAATGGAACCCCGGAATCAAAGTATTGCCGAAACCAATTAACCGTCGTGGCAACCAAACCAACAATAGAAACTGAACTAGATCGTATTTACAATATCATGACACAAAACCAGAGTTATAATCTAAGCATTTGAAACACTATTAAAATAGAATCCAATAGATATAATGTTCACCCTGTAGAAGCATACAATTATTTCTCCATAATTATCTACAACTCAATAACAACAGATTAAGTTAGAGTGTTACCGATGTCGAACTCAATGTCGGAATGAGGTTATATTATTACCACTTATCTGCTTTCGACATCATGAATGCCATTTCTCGAATGTGAGGAAACGGTGGCTACTTCTTCAATGTGCAGAAGCCACGACGTAAGCCAATATTGAGTCCAAATCCTAGATTAAACATCACTGTTGGAATCTGTTTGATGCTATGATGTTGTTCTTCTGCATAATCGATGATTCGGGCCGCAACCTGCGCAATATCAACAGCCAGCCAAATAGAAAAGAAAGAAAACTCGTTCTTACTTGAACTGTCGAGAGTCATTGTGATTCAGCATTGAGGAATTTTGCTGCGGTAAACCAATAGCTATAACGCCGTTAAAAACTTCTGAATCTTGGCCTGTGCTTGCTCCTTGCTTTGGACAAAGATCAATACTGGAGGATTTGAACTCTCTGCAAAACTCTGCTGAATTGCTATAAGTTTTCCTTCTTCACTTCCAGTAAAAACCAACTTCTGCTTAATTGTTTCAGAAGCCATATTCTTCCTTTAGCCATTTTAAATTTCTTCTTCAATTTCTTCCCTATTCTACCAGAAGGCTTCAAGGAAACCTTGCTCTTATTTTCATCAGTCATATCCATGTCCATGGTGTTAGTGTTGTCAACAGTGGAAGTGGAAATTTCCATGGTAGTGTTTGGTCTGACGGGAACTTGAAGTTTGGGTGCGGCAAGAGCAGCTTCTTGTGCAGAAAGTTTAGCGGCTTCTTTCTCGTCATAGAAAGGTTGAACAATCTCTCTCCTAATAGCCCTCAACCTCTTCTCCCTCTTTGATCTCATTGATTTCCCCATGTTTCTTCTTTCAACTTTCCCAAACGCCCAAATGTGTGCAGAAAAGAAGAAGAGGCGCTGGCTAGGTTTGATGTATAGTTGAAACCTCATGGAATGTATGAGCTGCTGCTTCAATTTTGTGAAAGACAAGAAAATGATGTCGCCACGGCAAAAGAATTGCTCTATCCTGCATCAAACTCGGTACCTGCACAAGAAATTCACCACAGATAGAAAGAAATCTATTTTCGCGTGAATGATAACATGGTATCAGCTGCAGTGGCTGTTGTAATAACGAGTTCTCGTTGGAAGCATAACCGAAACTAAATCAGATTTGATACATTGCAATGAAAACGAAACCAAGTAGCAGCAGAATTCAGACACAATATTTCACCCAAAACCATAAAATAGAAATGAATTCGAATACGAATAGCAAGTATACTCAAACCAAATGCCATGAATGAACGCCAAAAGATGCAACAGGCTAATTTGAATCATAGCAAACACACGTATAATCAGAATACACAATGAGGTCGGCGCTCTAACCAAATTCGCATAGTAACCATTTTCATGTAAACAAAACCAGTAATAAATTTAACCCAACAATATTTACATGATGTAAAATAGAGCATCCCTAAACCAGAACCAAATACCTACTCAAACCATGGCTAAATCGGCCATAACATCAACATATAAGCAAAACCCAAAAGAATAACAGTAAAAACAAATTATAGCAGTAAGAATGACCCGAATCAAGGCTCAGGAACAACAACATGCCGACTTCGACCCCCAAGTAGCGGAGAACGATTAACACAACATCAGCATATCATCTTTTAGCTTTATCAAACCAGCATGTCCAACCGCAAATACAAGACCTCCAGCAGCATCAATTGCATTAGCAACAAATGCTCCTGAAACTGGTTATGCTCGTGTTGGAGCCGCGAGTGACGTCGAGTTTATAACAACGTGTGACGTTGTTACTGTTGCTTGAAGAACTTAGAGTTGTTTTGTGTTGTTATAGTTGTTGCAGAAGATGTCAATGCCTCCAGTTGTTGTTGAGAAACTGTTGTGTGAAGTTCGAGCTAGAATGCATCGATATATCGTTGTAATGGCTCAAACATCTATGTGTCATAAACCACGTCCGTTTGTGAACGGAGAGCTAAACTCGGCACCATCAGGAACCGTTGTCGATGTCGTCCCGAACTTGCTGCTGAAGTGGATGTCGTAATTACTGCTGAACTAAGTTGATGTTTGTTGAATAGTGGGGGTTGCGAGATGAGATTGGATTCGTTGCATAGTTGAATGCGTTGAAAGTTGAATAACACCCACAACGTACTCTTGGAACAAGGAACCGAATCGCGTGTCGTTGCTTGTCGCCTTAAATCGTGACCGCTGTTGTTTAGCCCTTATTTCAATCACTATCGAGTCGCTGCTACCATTGCGTGAGTTGGAGGAGAATGAGCAAACCACACTGGTATTTGAACAAGCGTTTTTCTGTTGAAGCTTTGAATCAGATGGATAAAGAAGAAGGTGGGTTGAAGGTTAGGGTTGAAGGGTAAAAGGGTTGCGCGGTGGATTTATTTTGATGGCGGAGGATTTCGCGGTGTTGACAAAAGAGTGAGTTAAAAGGAGAAAGGAGAAAGTGATGGTGAAGAAACTGAAAACGAAAGTGTGAGAGGGGAAGGGGGAGTTTGTGAAGATGGAAATGAGAAGCTTGGGGCGGCGGCCGTTTTTTGAGTGAAGAAGAGGATCTACAGTCTTTTTAGGGTTAGGGTTTCTTCAGATTGGGGTGGCGGCGGATAGGGTTTGGAGTGAATTGGGGATTTCGGTGAACAGTAATGCCCTCAATCTGTTAGGGTATGGTGAACAGTAGGTCACCCTATTTATCCCCAAAAAATCTAAACCTAATTCCAATCTCACATGTTTCTCACTCAGTTTTTATTATTATTATCTTTTCTTTTTCTTTTATAATTAACTAATTAATATAATTCTAAATGGATTTCTAATAAATAAATAAAAAACTATCAATAATTCAAAATTAACTATTTAAATCTCTAATTTAATCAATTAATAAAAATAACAAAACTACTTATATTTTTTTAATGAAATTCTAATTTAATTAATAAAAATAAATAAAGAAAAGTCTGATCCTATTTCTAATTAAAAAACCTATTCTAATTTTAATTATTTTTAAATTAAAACTTTATTCTAGTTAATTAATATTACAAATATATCACATTATTTAAAATAAAAACAAAACGATTAATAAGTAAAAATGCCACGTGGCATACTCTTATTGGGCTAAAAAGCGAAAATGCCTGTTTTTGCTGAAAAATACGCTACGCTGTATAAGCGAGGTAAATTAAAAACAAAGTCGGGCAAATGAGAATTTTTGAAAAAGGTAGGACAAATTTGGGGTATGACAAATACATAAGGCACAAAAGAGAATCAAGTAAAGAAAAATATTATGACAAAATGCATGAGTTAAGTGGACAATGATAATCATAAAATAACGAGAAAGAAAGAGTCAATGCAAGAAATTGAAATCGTGAGACCAAGTCTAATTTACAAACTTGCTAAGTTAAAAGTCGAAAAAATTAAAGGAAATGATATGAAAATGATCAAAAATGAATCCTAAATATTATATTTTTAAACATGATATAGAATTCAAATAAAATAAATAAGAAAATTTTTTAACAAAAATAATTACAAAGACTATTAATGAAATTATTAACAAAACATTTAATTAACCAAAAAATTATTAACGAAAAATAATTAATAAAAAAATATTAACAAAATAATTAACCAAGTATTTGACAAAGACTTTTAACAAAACAATTAATAGAATTGTTAACAAAATTTAACAAAATGAGAAGGGGTGTGAGATCAGATGTGTGTGTTAATATGGAAAATCCATTCGTGGGCTTTTACCAAAGCCCACCAAGAAGAAGAAGAAGAAGAAGAAGAAGAAGAAGAAGAAGAAGAAGAAGAAGAAGAAATGAAACACGGGTAGTAAAAACAAGAAGGGTGGTAGTTAAAGAAATCTACAACGGGCTTTAAGCCCAAGAATAACATTGCTTCAAGAAAAAAAAAGACAAGAAACAAAGCCTACAAGAGGCACGACTCATTCCTCATTTTAACAAAACCAGGCAACATAACAGAGTTCACAAAAGTAATAATATCATAAAATAAAAGGCAACTTGCTCAGAATAAAGTTTCATCATCGCATGTGGATACGACAAGAAGAAAAACACGACCTCAATCTCCACATTCAATTTGCAAATTGCTCTGTCTTTCTGCTTCTTACCTTCATCTCCAGTTATTTCGTTGATTTAAATCGAGTTTATGATTTTGTTTTCATCTTGCTTTTCGCTCGAACTCTTTTCTTCTCTCTGATTTTGGTTCTATGATTGGGTTTGTTTTGGGTTCGATTTGGTTGATGAAGAATGAGATTGGTGAAGGGGGGTTGAAGGAAGGTTCAAAGGTTATGAAGGTTTTAAAAAGTAGAGTAGAATGAGGGATGGTGGTTACGCGCCGGTAATGTTGGTTCGAACCGAGTCATGGTGTGAGCTTTTAGTTATTTTCGTCATGTGGTTTTGATAGACCTAAAATATATTGTTTTCTTGGCTCGATTTGCACACGTTATTTAGGATTTTATTTCTGTTTTCTTGTATTATGCCTTTGTTTTGTTTCTTTTTTAGGTTTTTGTATTTTCAAGGCTACTCGAGAAGAAATGAAGGAAAAATGAGCTAAAAGACCTACTTTATGAGGAATTGTACACATGGCTTCCACCATGGCAGGTGCCATAGGGGATGCCACACATTGGATAGAAGCCAGCTGCTGACAACTGCCACATCTCCCACTCCTTTCCACCCTAGTTTGTGTGGCGAGCGCCACAAGAGGGTGGCGGGTGCCACCTTCACATGCTCGTTTCCCTCCTAAAAGGAGTTGGGGTGCATTTTTGTCCTTACCTGTACTTTCCTACCACTATAAATAGAGGAGTTATGTTTCATTTCTAATCATCTAAGCTTAGTTACAGAACTCAAGCCATAAATTTCACCTATTGTAAAGTGATAAACTTCTCACATCGAGGGGTTATCACATTGTCTAATCGAGTCTGTAATCGAGTTTGGAGCACTTGGGTAGAAGTTAATCCTACCGCCATTTTATTTCAGTCTTTTTACTTCCAGTTGTACAAGATTTTAAAGCCTCTCGTTTAGAGCAGGTTTATGTCTATTTATCGCCTTTTATTTATTTATCCGCCATTTATTTCCCGCATCGATTTTATTTCTCGCACCGTGCTTTATTTATTTACCCGCATTTTACTTACTCGCACTTATTTACCATGTTTATTTACTTTACCATGTCCGGCTAAATCTTAAAGGCTAGGATGTCAGGATTGTAGTTATAATAGTATTCCATACGGTTGTCGATAGAATTACTTAGGGGTTATTTTAACTTTTAACAATTATTTTCTGTATTTAAAATATGTTAGGTAAGATCGAAAGTTGTCCAACCTTTAGATAAATTTGGTTAGTTTTAACTGTTCCAAGGAAGCGAAAGCGCTTGACTCAGTTAATTAGGAATCTTTAATGTTTAAGAAAACCAATTTTAAAACTGTTTTCGAACGCGTTTATGGATTTAAAGTCCGATTCACAAGAACCTCTTTTTGTTAGAAATTCCAGGTCAAAATACTTTTCAACTAAGTTAAGAAACTATATTTCTTAAAAATAGGTTTATTAATCCTAACGCAATACGCTCCTTTTTATAAGTGACAATAAGAGGGATCGATTAGGGATAAACTCGATTATGATTACGCGAAAGTGACAATTCCCGTTAAATTAGTTCTTTTCATGAGTGGAAAGCATTACCCCATAAGGCATCCTATCTGTACACATTCGGAATACTACGTAGCTATATGAATTACATCTATGCATGTTGTTTTATTATTGAATTTGTTTCTGCACTTTACTTTTATTTCACACAATCCAACTTTTTATTTGACTTTCCTTAGATAAACACTG